AAAATAATTCTTTAGGAAAAAAAAAATTTCTTCATAACCTTGGGAATAGATAAAAAGATTAATTTAACAGGACACCCAGACACAATACTAATGAAAGAAAAACTAATAATTCTAAATATGCGCTTACTTCCTCTTAAAAACTAATAATTCTAAATATGCGCTTACTTCCTCTTGATGGAATGCAGGTGGTAATGTTGGTGAAGGTGCAAAAGGAGGTGGAGAGATAACCTTTCTTTCCTCTAACTGGGCCATTATTTCCTTTCGTCTACGATGCAGTTCATCCAGACTAGGATGCGGCTGTGGAGGAGGAGGAAGTCGGCCATAAGGAGGCTCCTGAAAATAGATTAATTAAAACTGACAAAGAATTTCAGAACACATTAATTTAACTAGCATATATTTTAAATTAGAAGCAATTTGCAAATATGAAGACTTAAAAGAACAAAGAAAAACAAAACTGACCAAATCTCTGAAGATCTCCCAAACAGCTAAATTTAGATTTTTTTAGCCAGAGACCAAAAATTTCTATTAGATCTAAACCATCTAAAGTTCACAAACTAATAATGATTACTTAGAAGGAGGTCCAATTAATAGTTTTTTAAAATAATCTCAAATTATGAAAAAATAAAGAAGTTTTATTATTAAAAAAAAAAGAATTGATCAGGGGCCAGGGATTTAGCTCAGTGGTTTTGCCGTCTGCTGCGCAGGTGCAAGGACCCAAGTTCAATCCCTGGTACCGGAAAAAAAAAAAAAAAAAGAATTTATCAAAGCGTTATTACCATGGGGGAAAAAAAAGTAAGGAATCACTGTAATCAGTTATCAAATTAAGACCGATCATGTAGTGAGAAAAAAATACAACATACTCTGGGATATGAAGGTCTGATCTGAGTTGGATGAGGAGCCACTGGGTAGTAACCTTCCATCTGCTGGTACCTTTCTCTGGTCTCTGGTACATAAGATGGTACTGCTGCAGGCGGAATCTCAATGGGTATAGGACTTTCTCTGAAAATCTCTTCTCTTGCTGTGTAAGACTGAGCAGGGTACACTCGACGGCCGTCATAGTGAGGTGGGTACATAGCTGGGTACTGTTGAGGCTGTGTGCCATACTGAGAGCTTACAACACGATCTTGGAGGTAGGGTGAATAATGATCCAAGTATGGAGGACCACCTTCAGGAGCAGATGGTGGAGGTCGGACAAAGCGGGACACACACTGTGGTGGTGGAGTATAGTACATCCCTTTATAAAACAAAAGAGGAACCAAAACCAGCAATGAACCAGTTGATTGTTCTATGTAAGATTTTTTTGGCGGGAAACACTAAAGTATTAATCATCTACTTATTTCTTTACAAGTTTTCTCTCTGGCTATACAATACTGTCAGGTCAGCTTTATGAGAAACAAGAAGCAAAAATTACCTTCAGGGCTAGGAGTGTAGTTCAGTGCTTGCATAGCCTGCACGAGGTTCTGGGTTTGATCCCAATTATGTGCACATACCATTAATAAAGAAGTTAAAGAATCTAATCAATTTATAATCTACTATAGTAGGCTCCTCTTATTATTTACCCTTCTTTCTGTATGCCTTAATGGACGCAGATATGAGAAAGCAGAAACTTTCATTATGCAGACATCCCTCCAGTTTAGGTTCTACTGGAGTTTTGAATGTGTGAATGTGAAACTACTTGGTAAAGAGATGTGATACACAAAAGATCCATTTTCCTCATGCAGATCTAGTGGCCACTACTTGCCTCTAGAGGGTTTTTTTTGAGACAGGGTCTCACTACGTAGCTCAGGCTGGCTTGGACCTTGCTGCAATCCTCCTACCACAGTCTTCTGAATACCGGGATTACAGACATGTGCCACCATGCCCAGGTTGGCTCTAGATTAATTCCTAGAGACCTATCTGAAGCCTGCTTCTCTAGCACTTCCACCAATATTGTAGGTACCTAATTCTTGCATAAACTTCTACTTAATAGTTAAAAGGATTTTTAAAATCTACATTTGAACCTTAATACACGGTCTATTTAAAGTTACACATTGGCCACCTCAACAAAAGTAGCTGGATTTTCCTGAAATGAATAAATCATTTTTATTTTGCATGTACAGTGCACCCTTGAATTATGACTGGCCTTGACATACGAACACCTTGGGTTACGAGCGGAATTTTAGTTTTAACTTATGACCAAAGTCTTGAGTTACAAACTGAAGCTGCTTGTACTTACAGGTGGTCTCACATACAGATTTAAACCTTAGAGTTCTGGAAGGAACATTACAACATCCTTTCCGGTGTGGGGTTGGGAAATCCTGGGCCAGTGTCTCTCTAAGGACACTGAGATCTGCCTGGAAGAAAGTGTGGCCTAAACTTATACAGGAGAGAAACTCTGAAGGCTTGTAGAGGAGCCTGAGCCTTCAATTGACCAACATGAATTACAACCAGCCCTCGCAAACAAATTGAGTTCATAAGCCAAAGGTCTACTGTATTAGTAATGCTGTAGAGAATGTAGAGAAGATGATATTTGTGATTCAAAATTAAAAGACCACCTTGGTTAAATAAAAGTGGACATCCTTGATCTATTACCATTTTAAAAAATAAAAGCATTAAGCTTGGTGTGGTGGTGCACATCTATAATCCCAGCACTCTGGGAGGACTGAGAAACTGAGAAACTGAGCAAGAATCTGTCTTAAAATAAAAATTAGAGGGGGGCCAGGGATTTAGCTCAGTGGTTTCGTTGCCTGCCTCGCAAGGGCAAGGACCCGAGTTTGATCCCCGGTACCAAAAAAATAAATAAATAAAATAAATAAAAATAAAAAATTAGAGAGGGATGAAGCTCAATGTGTAGATTCTAAGTTCAATCCTCAGTAATGAAAAAAAAATGCATTATACTTCTGACAGATATAACAATTCAGTGAGATTATATGTGAAAACTTAAGTCATCCTATCCTTTAATCTATTATTTTGTACTACCATTAAATCTTAGAAAATTTTCTAAATCCCTTCTCCCTTTTTTTTGGTTTTTTGAGACTGAGTCTCATTATGTAGTTCAGACTGGCCTTGAATTCACAGTGATCCTCCTGCACCAGGTTCCCAAGCTCTATATTACAGGCGTGCTCCACCACAGCTGGCTTTTATCGTTATTAATTCTATACTATAAACTCCCTAATAGCAGGTTTGCTTCATTTTTTTTATACATATTACAAGATACAGAAAAATATTGATTAAAAGAAAAATATAACGTGCAATTTATATCTACTAAGATACTAATTTTTTCACTGTGTTGAAAAATTTTATTCAGAATATATTCTCCTTTACTCATCAGCAAATTTCCATTGCTTATTTGAGTGACTTGTTACTTCCATAAATATATAAACACATTTATTACAGATTTACATTTAGTAGGTAAAAGCAGTTTGGATAGTTGATCATAAAAAAAAAAAAAACAAAAAAAAAACCCTCAGTTTTTTCAAAGTATTAATAATGCAGCCAAGCATGGTGGCATGTGCCTGGAATCCCAAGGCTAAGGCAGGACAACAGCCTTGAGTTTGAGGACAGCCTGGGCTACATAGTGAGTTTAAGCCAGCCTTAACTACACAGCAAGACTCTGTCTCAAAAAAAACAAAACAAAGAAAAAAATGCATTTATTTTCAGAAGGCTACTATGTAAACAGTCACTCTTACCTGGAAACTTCTTTCACCAGTAAATATGAGAAAATCAAGTGACATAATGAAAGATCATTACCCTGCTGATAAGGTGCTGGTTCAAATGGTGGGGCAGCTCCTCGAGGATCCTGATAATAAACATCAGCTTGCTGTGGTGGGTATAACTGAGAACTTCGAGGTACCATCTGAAGGGGCTTGGTGACAGGCAGGGGAGGCAGCTCTGGTGGCCCCCTCTGAGGTACGGGATGTGTAGTCACAGGTAAGGCAGAAATACTTTGAGGGACAGACTCTAGCCTAAGAGAATAAGATTATATGTCAAGTTTAAAGTCTCTAAAAATACTTCTAATGTACATAAATTGTAGTAGGAAAAAAGGACTGGCATAATTTGGGAAACTGGTTTATTCTAACAGTCATCCCCACTACAAAATTTGTAAATTTTGATCTCTTTCACCTATGCTAAATTATTTCTTTAAGAAAACCCACTAGTATAGGAAATAGAAGTTAAAAAACAACAAAAGACAAAAAATTATTTTTTTTCTCTCCAAAACAAAACAATTATTCCTCCTTCCTTTTACTTCTCTGTATAAGGAAGAACCCTTAAGTTAAGACTTAGGAACAATGACGTACAGATCAGGAGGGGATCCGGGAGCACTACTGCTCAGATGATCTATCTTTCCTGGTTTCAGACTAGAATCATAGCTGGGGTCCGTGCCTCGTGGGATGAGCTGTGTTACTGCGTTCCCTGATGACACAATTCCATTGGGCAGAGCAGAGGCTTTTCTGCTAGGCAGATCCACTGCAGCTTCATCTGGAAGGATTGCTGTTGAAGGCAGGCCCACCTCATTAAGCTGACCCAAAGAGGCACTCAGGGGTCTTCTAGGGACCAGACGTTTGTTCATTTTACGGAATCTATACAAAAAGAAAACGCATGCATAGAAAAACAAATATAAAAGGAAAATCAAGAACTAAAATGTATTTAAAATTCTCTCTTGAAAACATGGGGTCTATGAACTTGAAAACCATATGTGTATTTCCTATAAAATCTTGACCAGCAAGGCACACTGATTAAAAATAAAATTTCTTGTACTGAACATGTATTAATATTTATAACATTCAAATCATGTTAATATTTTTACTATAATATTTACTGAAATTTCTATTTCTGAAAACTATTGGAAGGGTAGACAGTTTGAAATATTTACTTCAGCTTTTCTTCAAATGTATACTTTGATACAGTGAGCCTATGTTAGAAATTAAGAGGGGCTAAGAATGTGACTCAGTGACAGAGTGCTTGCCTAGATGCCTGAAGCCCTGGGTTCAATCCCCAGCTCACAAAAAAACAAACTAAAACAAAACAAACAGGGCTGGGGGACCCTGCAAAAACAAGCCCCCAAACAAACAGAAGAAAAACAAAGCCAATGTACAGTGAAAAATTTATTGTTTACTACATTAAAATGTTTATCTAATCAAGAATACTTTCATCAGAATTGCTTCAGAGATACTGATGTTATTAATGTGTGTTCACATAAAACTGAAGTTATTTTAAAAGTCTGTAAAGGGAAACAACACTATAGAAAATGCCCTAAATGTATATGGTTGCTGTGGTTTAAAAAAAAAAAGTTACAGATTCTATATCTAACAAAAGGAGAAAAACTAAGCCACCAGACTCCAGCCTTCTTGTCCCTCAACAAAAGCAAGTCGCTAGTACATTTTTAAGAACAATGTCAAAACTATACGCCCATTAGAATACTGCTGTTATTTCTACGTTTTTCATATCTGAGAAATTTAGGAGGTTATCTTTCAGGGGTAACATTTTTTTTAAATTTTATTTTATTGGTACATATTAGGTACACAATATAATGATATTCATCATTGGAAATTTGCACCTTTACATAATCTCTCTTGGTTCTGATTTTTCCCCCTTCCCCTGCCCTCCCTTCTAACCCTCCCTATTTACATCCCTCCCTATTTACAAAGACTTTGTTTCCATTTTT